CTTTCAGTATGTGAGTGTTTTTAGGTCTGAAGTGTGTCTCTTGTATGCAGCATATATATGGGTCTTGTTTTTTTATCCAGTCAGCCACCCTGTGTCTTTTGATTGGAGCATTTAGTCCATTGACATTTAAAGTAGCTATTGATAAGTATGTACTCATTGCCATTTTGTTACTTTTTTTCTGGATGTTTTAGTAGTTCTTCTCTGTTCCTTTCTTCTTCTCTTGCTCTTTTCACTTGTGGTTGATGGCTTTCTTTAGTATTATGTTTGGGTTCCTTTCTCTTAATTTTTTGTGTATTTATTATAGGTTTCTGGTTTGTGATTACCATGAGATGCATATATAATAACCTACATATATAGCAATCTATATGAAGTTGATGGGCTCTTTAGTTTGATCTCTTGCTAAAAGCTCTACTCTTTTACTCCCCTCCTCCCACATTTTATGTTTTTGATCTCATGTCTAACCTCTTTTTTCGTGCATGTGTATCCATTACCCTCTTATCATAGAAATAGATAATTTTAGTACTTTTGTCTTTTGACCTTCATATTAGCTTCATAGGCGGTTGATCTGCTACCATTACTGTATATTTGCCTTTACCAGTGATTTTATTTATTTATTTTTTGGTAATTTTCTTATTCCTATTTGCGGTCTTCTTTTTTCCACTTAAATAAGTCCCCTTAGCATTTCTTGTAAGGCTAGTTTCTTGGTGATAAACTCCTTTAGTTTTTCTTGTCTGGGAAACTCTTTATCTCTCCTTCCATTCCAAATGATAACCTTGCTGGGTAGAGTATTCTTGGCTGTAGGTTTTTTCCTTGCACTTTAAATATATTGTGCCACTCCCTTCTAGCCTGTAAGGTTTCTGCTGAGAAGTCAGCTGATAGCCTTATGTGGTTTCTTTTGTATGTGACTTGTTGCCTTTCTCTTTTGGCTTTTATGATTCTTTATCTTTAATTCTGGATGTTTTAATTATAAAGTGTCTTGTTGTGGACCTCTTTGGGTTCATCTTGTTTGGTGCTCTCTGTTCTTCCTGTACCTGGATGTCTGTTTCCTTCCTTGGGTTAGGAAAGTTTTCAGCTATTATTTCTTCAAATAGATTCTCTGCCCCTTTGTCTCTCGCTTCTCCTTCTGGGACACCTATAATATGGATGTTAGTGTGCTTGATGTTGTCCCAGAGGTCCCTTAGACTGTACTCATTCTTTTTAATTCTTTTTTCTGTTCAACTTGGGTGATTTCCTCTAGTCTTTCATCCAGCTTGCTGATCCATTCTTCTGTGTCATGTACTCTGCTATTGATTCCCTCTAGTGAATTTTTCATTTCCATTATTGTATTCTACACTTCTGATTGGTTCTTTTTTATATTGTCCAATTCTTTGTTGAAGTTCTCACTGTATTCATCCATTCTTCTCCCAAGGTCAGTGAGCATCTTTATGACTATTAGTTTGTACTCTTTATCAGGTAGATTGTTTATCTCTGTTTGGTTTAGTTCTTTACTGAAGATTTGTTATGTTCCCTTATTGGGAACATATTCCTTTGTCTCCTCATTTTGCCTATTTCTCTGTGCTTATATTTATATATTAGGTAGATCAGCTACATCTCCCAATCTTGGAGAAGTGGCCTTATGTAAGAGATGCCTTATGAGGCCCAGAAATGTGCTTCCCTCTTGTCACCAGTTCCAAATGTTCTAGGAGTGTCCCCTTTGTGGGCTACATGTAACCTTCTGTTATGGCGGGGTTGCTCTTACTGCAGGTTCCCTGGCCAGCTCGTTGTAAGGCTCAGCTGCGTGCAGTTGCTCTGGTCCCTTTAGTCACTTTATTGGGCAGAGGGAGCCCCCAGCACAGTTGGCTGCAAGGTCTAATAGCACATACCTGCTGCTGTTTTGCTCCTACATGAGTAGGCCCCCAGGGTGGCTGGTTGCTAGGCTCAGGGGCTCACAATTGCTGTAGGCCTCTGACCTGTGAGGCTGTTGTCAGCTCTCTCAGGAGTGCAGTTGGATGGGACTGGCCCCAGGCATGGTAGCACACAATTGTTTCAGGCATCGGAAGGTGAGGCAGATCCCCTATGTGGCTGTTTGAGAAGCACAAGTCTGCTGCAGCTGACAAGCCCCACTGCCCACAGGTCCACACACCCATCAATGCAGTCCTGCTCCTTGTGCACCCCCTGCCCTGCTGAATCAGACCCACTCGCCCTGCTGCGGAGGTCCCACACACTCCACCTATATGGACCCACAGGTTGCCTGAGGGCTTGCTGGTGGGTGGGGCCAGTCCCTAGGGCAGGCTGCCTGCCTTGGCTAAACTGGATTAAATCCGTGCTCTAGTGGGTGGGGCAAAATCCCTGTGCTAACAGGCCAGGGGAAGAACTCCAATGGCATCTGCCAGCCTCTGTATCAGCACACCTGTACTAGGTCACAATAACGGCTGCCGCCAATGTCTCAGTCCCTGGGGAGGTGGTCCCAGCCGCCTCCTGCCTCCCTAAGATGCACCCAGAGCCTATCACATGAGTCTCTTCACCAGAGGACTGTGCACCTTTCTTTCTGGTGATTGTGTGTTGCTTTTTGGAACAGGTGAATTTGTGTGTGGGCCCTTTAAGAGCAGACTTTTCTTTCTCTTATGTTTGATAGCTTTTCTAGGGGTATCCCCCTTGTTTTTAATAGCCAGCAAAGCCAGATATTATGACACTTGTCTCAGTTGTGCTGAGTTCAATAGCTGCTTATTGTGGCAAAGCTCTCCCGCTCAGATCCCCCACTCCTCCAGGAAAAGCTTTGTACCTTACGATTGCTCCTGGCCATGGAGCGCCATGGCTACAATGTGGCTTTTTTCCTCTTCAGAAAGGTATTTCTGCCTTTTCCACCTCAGTCAGCGCTGTCCCTTGTTGTGGGGGTTCTTTTTATCCAGTTTCCAGTTCTCTCTCAGGGGTAATTGTTCCAAGGGTAGTTGTAAATTTGTTGTGTCCATGAAAGAAGGTGAGTTCAGAGTCCTCCTATGCTGCCATATTCCCAGCAATCTCTCCCACTGTCTTTAAATTGCCTTTTTCTTGTTTCCATGTTCACTTGATTGCTGCAAACATTTGACTGTTTTCCAGAGTTCTAAGTTGGTTCTGACAGTTTCTGCTTGGTTTTTTTTTTTTTTTTTTTTTTTGTGAGGAAGATCAGCCCTGAGCTAACATCCCTGCTAATCCTCCTCTTTTTGCTGAGGAAGACCAGCTCTGAGCTAACATCTACTGCCGATCCTCCTCCTTTTTTTTCCCCCCGCAAAGCCCCAGTAGATAGTTGTACGTCATAGTTGCACATCCTTCTAGTTGCTGTATGTGGGACGCAGCCTCAGCATGGCCGGACAAGCGGTGCGTCAGTGCATGCCCAGGATCCGAACCTGGGCCGCCAGTAGCAGAGCGCGCACACTCAACCCCTAAGCCATGGGGCTGGCCCTCTGCTTGTTTTTTAATGTTTCTATGGGGAGATGAGAGCTTAGAGCTGCCTACTCTGTCATTTTGCTGATGTCATTGTGGGGTGAATTTCTTATCACCTGAAATAGTTTTTCATTTTCTATTATCCTTAAAGAAGCTTTGAATGTATCCAGACTGTTTGCATCTGTTTGTTTTGAGGACAGTGTTGGAGGTTGGGGTGGCTTGCATGATTCTGGGTTCAAGAGCACCCTCTTTTGTCAGTGAGGCAAAGTGCAGTTTCCTTAATGGCTCACTTTCCCTCGGCACTGTGGAGAGCCACGATGGGTGCTCCAACTTGTTTTGTTTGTTTTGGTCATTCTTTGTCTTACATGACCCTCAATTTCCCTCTGGTTTTTTCCTTTCACTACCCAATCTCCAAATGGTTCTTCGTTGCTCCTTTTTACCCTCTGCTTCCTTAGAGGGAATGTTTTTTTAGTGACTGCCACCTTGGGTTCCACACACCTTTCCTATAGCTGGTACTCTGACAGATCTGGCCAGTTTGTCCGTATTTTCATACTTATGGCAGATTTTCTCTTTCTAAGCATGATTTGAGCTCATCCTTAGGCTCTCTGCTCCCCTCTTCTGTTCTCTTGACTGTTTTTTCAGATCCTTCTCACATTCCAGAAAGGTTTATAGCAGTAGTTTGAATGCCAGCTGAGCTGGAATTTGGTATTTGTGTTTTACTTATAGGTAATTAGAAATTTGTCTTAGTCTCTATATTCTATTCTAAGTTATACCCAAGGTATAGGTTATGTGTGGTTTTGTTTGTTCTTCATGTTGATCTCTATAGTCTTTTGGAGGATATGCAGGGAGATTTGGATTTACATAGATGCAATTGTTCTAGATTACCTGGAAGCTCCTTTTTTTTTAATTAAAAAAATTAAGGTATAATTTGTATACAGTAAAGCAGACCCTCTTTAGTGTACAGTTCTGCAAGTTCTGACAGCTCATACAGTAGGTAACCACCACCACAGTGAAGATGCAGAACAGTTCTGTTGCCTCCCAGTGTTTCCCCTTTGTAGTCAATCCCTTGCCACACCCTGGCCCCTGGTAATCACTGATAGACTTTGAGTTTCTGTACTTTTGCCTTTCCCATAATATTATATAAATGGAATCATACAGTATGTAGCTTTTTGAGTCTAGCTTCTTTCACTTAGCCTAATACATTTGAGGTTCATCCATGCTGTTGCATGTATCATTAGTTCTTTCATTTTTATTGCTGAGTATTATTACATTGTATGGATTCCAGTTTGTTTATCCATTCACTGGTTGAAAAACATTTGGGTTGTTTCCAGATTTTGGTGATTGCAAATATAGCTGCTATATAAATGTCCATGTGTAGGTTTTTGGGTTTATGTAAGTTTCATTCCACTTGAGTAAATATACTTGTGAGTGGGATTGCAGGGTTGTATGGGAGTATATGCTTAATTTCATAAGAAACTGGCAAACTGTTTTCTAAAGTGGCTGTACCATTTTGCATTCCTGCCTATGATATGTGAGGGTTCCAGTTGTCCCGCATCCTCACCAGCACCTAGTATTGTCAGGTTTTTTTCCCATTCTAATAGGTGTGTAGTGGTATCTCATTGTGGTTTTAGTTTGCAGTTTCCTCATGACTAATGATGTTGAGCATCTTTGTATGTGCTTATTTGTCATTTGTATATTTTCTTTGGTGAAGTATCTCTTTTTCATCCTTTTTTTCGTTTTTTAGTTTTGAGAGTTCTTTATATTTTCTCAATACAACTTATTTGCTGGATGTGTTATTTGTAAATATTTTCTTCCATTAGTGGCTTTTTATTCTCTTAACAGTGTCTTTTGAATTTTGGTGTCACATCTAAGAAATATTTGGCTAACCTAAGGTTAAAAAGATTTTCTCCTATATTTTATTTTAGAAATTTTATAGCTTTAGATGTTACATTTAGGTCTGTGATCCATTTTGAGTTAATTTTTATATATTTTGGAGGTATGGATTGAAGTTTCTCTTTTTTTTTTTTTTTTTGCAAATGGATATCCAATTGTTCCAGCACCATATTTTGAAATGGGAACTCCCATTTTCCATTGAATTTCCTTTGCACTTCTGTCAAAAATAATTTATAAGTATAAAGATATAAAGTACATTTAATTATAACAAACATGGAGTACAGTTTATAAGTGTACAGCTTGATGAATTATCACCAAGTGAATACACCATGTAGCCACCCCCAGGTCAAGATTAGAACATAATCAGGACCTCCAAATCCCCACTCATGCCCTCTCCCAATCAGTACCACCCCAGAAGGTAATCACTCTCCTGACTTCTAACGTCATGGATTGGCCTTGCCAGTTCTCTTACTATGTATAAATAGAATCATGCAGTATGTACTCCTTTGTATCTGGATTCTTTTGCTCATCAGTACATCCGTGAGATTCATCTGTGTTGGATATGCAGTTGTCGTTCATTCATTTTCATGACCACACAGTATTCCATTGAATGACTGTGCCACAGTTTACCCATTGTGTTGTTGAGGGACATTTGGATTTTTTCCAGAATTTAGTATTAGAAATAGTGCTGCTGTGAACATCCCTGTACTTGTTTTCTAGAGCACATGTGCATGATTTTCTCTAAGGTGTGTACCTAGGAGTAGAATTGCTGGGTCATAGTGTATGCAAATCATTAACTTTAGTAAATAATACCAAACTGTTTCCCCAAGCAATTATACCAGTTATATTCCTACTAACAGTGTGTGGGAGTTCCCATTTCAGCACAATCTTATGGTATTTTAATCTGCTTAATTATAACCTCTCTGGTGGGTGCATAGTGATGTCTCCATGTGGCTTAAACTTGCACTTACCTGAGTGCTTATGGGGTTAAGTACATTTCAGTGGTTACCTGAGTGCTAATGAGGTTGGGTGCATTTTCTTATGTTCATAGGTCATTTGGATTTTCTTTGTAGTGAAGTACCTATTCACATCTCTTATCTTTTTTTCTCTGTTGTTTGTATGTTTCTTATTGATTTGTAGGGGTTATTTTATATGTTCCAGATCAGATCCTTTTACCACTTATGAATGTTGCAGATAATCTCCCCATCTATAGCCTGCCTTTTTACTGTCGTACCTTTAATCTTGTAACATTTGTAAGTCTTTTCCTTTATGAGTAGTGCTTTTCATGTCTTGTTTTAGAATTCTTTCCCTACTCCAAGACTGTGAAAACATTTTCCTATATTATTTTCTAGATACTTTATTGTGTTACCTTTCACATTAGATTTACAATTTACTTATAGCTGATTTTTGTGTATGGTGAGAGTTAGGGGTTAAATGTCATTTTTTTCCCATATAGCTATCCAATAATCCATCTACATTTATTCGAACCCATCCTCATCCTCTCCTCACTGTTTTGCAGTGCCAACTTTGTCATAACTCAGGTGTCCATACGTATTTGGATTCTCTTTTTAGTTCTACTGGACTATTTGTCTATCCTTGTGCTAATACCACATTGTCTTACATATTCTATTACTTAATGGAATGGTTTTTCTGTCATGATTCGTGATTTTCCCACAAAGTAGGCATCCTGTATTGAGTCATCATCACGAACTGGGAACCCAATCAGCAGTTCCCCTACATTCCGTCCTCATCCCCCAGTGGTCAGCATTTTAGAATAAAAGGAATGTGCAATTACAGGGACTTGTGACATTTGAGGATGTGGCTGTGGATTTCACCCAGGAGGAGTGGCAGTACCTGAACCCTCCACAGAGGACCCTATACAGAGATGTGATGCTGGAGACCTATAGCAACGTGGTCTCCGTGGGTAAGAATGGCTTCCTCAGGTAATTTCACTGTTTATTATTATTGTGTCCTATAGAGGGCCTTTCCTTTCTCAATTTCCAAACTCAAAGGTTTCTGAACTGCTTAAAGAGTTTGACATTTTTTTTTTAAAGATTTTATTTATTTATTTTTCCCCCCAAAGCCCCAGCAGATAGTTGTATGTCATAGCTGCACAACCTTCTAGTTGCTATATGTGGGACGCGGCCCCAGCATGGCCGGAGAAGCGGTGTGTCGGTGCGCGCCCGGGATCCGAACCCGGGCCGCCAGCAGCAGAGCGCGTGCACCCAACCGCCAAGCCATGGGGCCGGCCCAAGAGTTTGACATTGAATTCAAGGGATTAAAGTTCCTTTTCCCCCTCTGCTCTCCTGTCAGATTGTTTGTGAACTCAAAACCCAGGTGAAATGGTTTGACTTTACTATTGTGTCAAGTGATAGGTCCCTTGTGTTGCCCCAAACTCCAGCTTCCTCTTTCTCAGAGACTCTGAAGACCGAGGAGATATTGCTCTCATTTCTCATTAGCAGGGCAGCAGGTTACCAAACCAGACCTCATCCTCAAATTGGAGGTAGAAGAGCCATGCCCGGCAGAAGGAATAATCCCAATTTGGAGCTTTCCAGGTAAGTGGGATTGACCCAGGCTATGGGGACATGAGGTCTCAGCTTGCCAGTCGAGGGTGAGGATCTCTGAAAGGGCTTTCAGGAATATCTTGGAAAGGTTATGGCATTTGACCTTGGAGGACAGGGACATGAACACCTCAGACATAAGACTGACACCCTTTCCCCTGTCCCACACCTTTGAGACCACTCTCCTTAAGTTGGTGCTCACCCACAAGTTTCTGCGCAGCTCCTATGCCCCGTATATAAGTGTCGTGTAAATGCCAATCCCCTGCCCCCAAGCCCTGCCACTTCTACCATTTTCATTTTTCACTGCCTTATCTGAAGCCAGGCCACATTAGTCACAGGCCTAGATGCTAATGCTCTAATTCCAGATTGGATTACCTGATTCCATTCAGCTTAGATATTCCCATCACATTTGCTTTCTTAAAACATCTTATCTCTTTTTAAAAATAGCTTTATTGAGATATAATTCACATACCATAAAATTCACTCTTTTGACGTATACAAATTCAGTGATTTTTAGTATATTCATAGAGTTGTGCAGCCATCACCACTATCTAATTCTAGAACATTATCATTACCCTCCAAATGAAACCCCTATCCCTTATCAGTCACTCTCCATTCCCTCCTTCCTTCATCCTCTGGCAGCCACTAATCTACTTTCTGTATCTATGGATTTGCCTATTCTAGACATTTCATGTAAATGGAACCATACAAAATATGGCCGTTTATGTCTGGTTTCTTTCACTTGGCATGTTTTCAAGGTTCATCCATATTGTAGCATGTATCAGTACTTCATTCCTTTTTACGATGGAATGATATCCCATTGTATGGATATAACTTTGTTTATCCATTTTGTTAACACATTTTGTTTATGTGTTCATCTGTTGATAGACATTTAGCTTCTTTCCGCTTTTTGGCTATTACAGATAATGCTGCTATGAACATTCACGTAGAAGTTTTTGTGGTGATGTATGTTTTCATTTCTTTTGAGTACATCCACAGGAGTGGAATTGTTGGACCATGTGATAACTGTATGTTTAACATTTTGTGGAACTGCCAAACTGTGTGAATATCCTATTCCTCCGAAATTTTTACCCAGTGGTTTTTAACATTCACCGACGATTCTTGCCTTAATCAATTATTACTAAGATGGCTGAGGAAAATGGTGAATTTTCTATCATTCCTTCTACATTTTTAAGTTGGCACTCTTCTGTAAAGAACTCTCCCTTGCCCTATCTCTATTAATTAATTAATTTTTGTATCAGTATGGACACAGATTTTTATTTTTCAATGTGTTATAATCCATTACTGTCTACTGTTGTTATTCATTTTGATGTTCAAATTGTCTTCAGTTTGGCTAGTAGGAGTCCCTTCAGGCTGACTCCTCTGTCTTTTGACATGTCCCCATCATTCTCTGAGCACTTTCTGGCACAAAAATATATTCCAGGTTCATATTGTACTTTCCCCATTTCAGACCTGGAATCAGCAACTTCTCCAAGCATCTCCGATTCCTTCTAGTGAGGAATGGTATTGAGAAATTAGGATCTAGGTGCTGGGTGTGCTCAAAGCTACTCGGATTCTTGTTTCTTATAATCTACAGATGATTCCCTTCCTTCTGTCTTTTTTCTCTTGTATTTCTTTTTTAAGAAACTGAGTCATTTGTCCTTTAGTTTCCACATTCTGGATTTTTGCTGTTAAGTACTCCATGGTGGTATCTGACATATTCCTCTGTCCCCTGTTTTTCTTGTAAATTGGTAGTTAGATCTCAAAGCTTGATCAGGGTTTTATTTTTTTCTTTTAGCAAGGTCACTTCCTAGCTGGTGTAACATACTTCCATCAGGAGGCATCGTAATGCATGGTTGTCTCTTTTTTCTATGTCATTGGTCATTGGTGATTATTGCTTACTATTAATTCATTAATGGTTGCAAAGTGGTGATATTGTAATTCTGTCATTCCTTCTTTGTCAATTAGCTGGAATATTTCTATAAAGAGGGATTGCCCTCCATCTATCATTTGGTTATATATGAGTTACATATTGTACAGAATAGGTACATAGTATACACATGAGTTACGTTTTGCCATTTATTTACCAGTTTTCAAAATAATGAGTTGGTTTTGTAGCATCATTCAAAGGTGACTAATATGTCTTTTTTTGAGTATCATTTATGGGCTTATGGATTTAAACATTTTTTATGTTTTAATCCATTGCCTTATCCTTATTATGAATCAAACTGCCCCATCTCTGGCCAGTGGAAACCCTTTCAAGGTGGCTCCTGAGTCTTTGGTAGCTTCCTTGCTTTCTGATGTTACAAGATGTTCCAGGCTCATTTTATATATTTCCTGTCTCTGACCTGGAATCAGCCATTTCTCTGAGGAGCCCTGCTTCTTTTTAGTGATAATGTTTTGAGACGACAATTTGGATGTTAGGGAATTGTTTCTAGGCCTTTCCATCAACCGAGCTGGGAACTATCTAAAAAAAGATTTTTTAAGAGAAAATACATCATGTATTCAAATTGATATTTCCAAATCAAATTCTGGACTTAAAGGTTTTTAATTTATTAATCTTACATCTGATGGTAGTATTGTTAGTATTTTTCTGAGACTGCTGAATGTGTGTAGTGAGTTAATCATGTTGGTGCCATTGAGAATCAAGACTTTTCAGCATGGTTGTTAGGACATACAGATGAGGGGATATTTATTATTATTAGGGGATCCTTTTATATTCAGTTTTACTTTATGACTATATGAAATATTTATAAAATATTTACTTGGTTCCAAAGTCAAACCTAGAAAACAAGGTATATTCAAAGAAGTCCAGCTTCATTCCCTCTCCATCCCACTCCCTTCCTTCCCCCATAGGTAACCATTTATTAAAATTTAAAGGTTTATCCTTCCATTGTTTTTCACAATATGAGCCTATATAAATATATATCTGTATATTTGTTTCCTTCCTTAGAAAAATGTTAGCCTACAATGCATAGTTTTATTCAACTTCTTTTTTTCACTTAATATTCAAGGACATGTTAAATATATTGAGATATTCCTTATTTCTTTTTATAGTAATATAGTGGCTCTTAATAATCATAATAGTAGTACTTGTTGTTATTGTTATTGTAGTAGTAGTGTAGTAGTTGTTCTAGTAAACGTTTGAAAGCACTTCCTATGCGTCATGCATACCCTGTTATAAGTAATTGAATCCTATTGACAAACATTTGGATGGGCACTATTATAATTTCTGTTTTCCAGGTGGGAAAGTAAGATACAAATAGATTAGATAACTTGCCTAAGGTCACAGAGCAAGTGAAAGGTTGAGATAGGATTTGATCCTGGGCTAGAGAGCCCATGACCCTAGCACATGTGCTATGCTGCTTCTTACTACCTAAGGAAGTCCAGATTTAGGAGATCCTTGGTGGAGCTTGGGTCCCATCAAATGTATTTTGTAAAAGCTTTTCCCGTGATTCTGATGTTCACTCCTGGTTTAGAACTAGTGCTTTACTATCCAAAGAAAGGAAGTAACAAGAAGGGAAACCACAGATGCATGATCCATTTTAAAATTCAGTATTACTATCGTAAATGTGAGCCTTATTAAATCTAAGTGGTAACACGAGTTAGTTATTGTACTCTTCTTTCAACTTTTCTGTATGTTTGAACATTTTCATATAGAATTTGAGGAAAAAGTGAGAAGAAAAGTAAACTACAAAAAAGGATAAAAACTCAGTATATGTGCAAAAAGTATTTACCGTATTTTATGAACTTCAAGATACCATTGATTTTAAGACACATCACTAAAAAAGAAAAATTGCCACCACTTATGACATGTCATTGATTGTAAGGTGCATCTGGATTCAGATATGTTAAAATGTGGACTAATATACATCTTGCAATTTATGAAATATAGTATATTAAAGGCAACAATTTGCAATTTTAATTTTCTAAATGAGTGGTACAGATGACCGAGTACTTTAGAAATTAATAAAAATTGAAGTTACAGAGGAAGATCAGGGTAAGCTTTTTTGAAAAGACTGAACTGCTTCTTGAAAGATTTCTAGATTCTGAATATAGCAAAATATGGAGGACTGGAGTATGTGGGTGATGGAACATGGAGAAGGTTTTGGAGTTAATAAGAGACAGTTTTTAGCGGAAATAGTGTAGACAGGAGCAGAAGGTGGTGTTGAAGAACAGTGAATGCAAGCTTGGATGGATAGAAAAGTGAATCCAGATTGGGCAAAGATCTTAGGTTTTTCTTTGTTTTGTAAGACTAATTCTTCTAGATCTTTCTCTCATTTACTGAAAATGTGGATTCAGGATTGTTGTAAGATTTGAGTCCATGATTCACACTGTTGCATTTCTACCTAGGTAGAAATAGTATAAGTCAGGTACAGTTAAGAGTTCATATGATAAATGAAGATAAGGGGTGATAAGGTCCTCAGAGTTGATGGAAATCAGAGATGATGCAAAAGTAGAGGTAAGAAAGACTGAGGTGTCAGGGTAAGATTGTTCTTGGTAACAAAAAGGCTAGCAGCTGGGAGTTTAGTAAAAGAAGAGGATTCGATGTCAAGATTCTCTCTCCAGGAACTCTGATAAAATGAGATAATAGTAACAGCTTTCATATGGCAGGGCATTTCTAAAGAATGTCCATTCCATAATGTTAAAGTATAAAAATGGTTTATTGTACTTCTTTCTAGAAGAAGCCTGCCAAGTTGATGAACGGATTGAGAGACAGCACCAGGATGACAAAGATAAATGTTTGTTGATGCAAGTTAGATTCCCTGACAAGAAATCAATTACCACCAAGAGTGACTATGATGAATTTGGAAACACACTTCACCTGAGTACAAACCTTGTTGTTTCAATACAAAGACCCCATAAATATGAGTCATTTGGAAATAATATGGTAGATAATTTAGACTTATGTAGTAGAAGCTCTGCAGGAAAGAAACATGATAATGGATGTGCAAAATTATTCTTCCATACTGAGTATGAGAAAACAACTCCTGGAGTGAAACCCTATGGATATAAAGAGTGTGGAAAGGCCCTCAGGCGAAAGAAAGGTCTTAGTCTGCATCAGAGAATTAAAAATGGAGAGAAACCCTTTGAATGTACTGTGTGTAGGAAAACGTTCAGCAAGAAGTCACACCTCATTGTACACTGGAGAACTCATACGGGAGAGAAACCCTTTGGATGTACTGAATGTGGAAAAGCCTTTAGCCAAAAATCTCAACTCATTATACACCTGAGAACTCATACAGGAGAGCGACCTTTTGAGTGTCCAGAATGTGGAAAAGCCTTTAGAGAAAAGTCAACTGTCATCATTCATTACAGGACTCACACAGGAGAGAAACCTTATGAATGTAATGAATGTGGAAAAGCCTTCACTCAGAAGTCAAACCTCATTGTCCATCAGAAAACCCACACAGGAGAGAAGACTTATGAATGCACTAAATGTGGGGAATCCTTCATACAGAAGCTTGATCTAATTATACATCATAGTACTCATACAGGGAAGAAACCCCATGAATGTAATGAGTGTAAGAAAACTTTCAGTGATAAGTCAACTCTCATTATACATCAAAGAACTCATACGGGAGAGAAACCTCATAAATGTACTGAATGTGGGAAGTCTTTCAATGAGAAGTCAACCCTCATCGTGCATCAGAGAACTCATACAGGAGAGAAACCCTATGAATGTGATGTGTGTGGAAAAACTTTCACCCAAAAGTCAAACCTTGGTGTACATCAGAGAACTCATTCAGGAGAGAAACCTTTTGAATGTAATGAATGTGAGAAAGCATTCTCTCAGAAATCCTATCTCATGCTACACCAGAGAGGTCATACAGGAGAGAAGCCCTATGAGTGCAATGAATGTGAAAAAGCATTTTCCCAGAAGTCATATCTCATTATACATCAAAGAACTCATACAGAAGAAAAACCATATAAATGTAATGAATGTGGCAAAGCCTTCAGAGAAAAGTCAAAGCTCATTATACATCAGAGAATTCATACAGGAGAGAAACCCTATGAATGTCCTGTATGTTGGAAAGCTTTTAGCCAGAAGTCACAGCTCATAATACATCAGAGAACACACACAGGAGAGAAACCCTATGCATGCACTGAGTGTGGCAAAGCCTTCAGAGAAAAATCAACATTCACAGTACACCAGAGAACTCACACTGGAGAGAAACCCTATAAGTGTACAGAATGTGGGAAAGCCTTTACCCAAAAATCAAACCTTATTGTACATCAGAGAACACATACAGGAAAGAAGGCCCATGGGAAAGGCCACACCCGGAAGTCAAAGCTCATTGCACACTAGAGAGTAAATCAACAGTGCCTGTTACATACACTGAAGGAAAGCTTTGTTGATTTAAGTAACATTTTAAAAGTATGTTCTGACTTCTGGTTTAAATATGGGGAGTAAAATCAGCATTTTTTCTTTCCATCTCAGGCTTCACCCAAAAGCTACAGGGAGAAAAAGCAGCAGAAGTGTAATCTCTGTATCTGACAAAATTAGAAGAGAGCTGAAACCCTGATGAGAGGCCTGCAGAGGCAGAGGAACTCAAGCACCAGCGCAGGAGATCTCAGAGCAGAGAACACTCACAGCTGCAGATGTGAGATAGCACTGGGAAGGAGTCTTCGCTGAGGTTTAGGATATACTGAGTGCAAGACCATACACATACATGGTAGCAGTAAGAGAGGGCATGGGCAGGTGGGAGGTAGGAAGTTTCCTAGATCCATTTGGGTCCTCAACAAGGAATCACTCAGACAAGCCATACTTACAGAAAGTAGCCTGTACTCATGGGAGGAGCAGTTGGCGGGGGCTAGGGCAAGAGAAGGGAGTGCTCCTTGTGAAGAACCCTACAGCTGCCCCTATTTACTGACTCAGGAGATGTCAAGTTGAAAGAACAACCAAATGGAAAAAAAAATCCCAGTTGTAAGAAAAACTCTGATCTGTCCAGAATGCGGCCCCTATTTCTTCTACCACATGAACCTCCAGCAAACAGCAAGTCCAGGAAAAACTGTTCAAAGTGGAATGATTCCAAAGTAATCAAAACCATGGATGCACATCACTTTTGAGCCAGCGATTCCCCTTCTAGGAATGTATATACTCATGCATGTACAGAATGATGAACACACAGAGGTATTCACTGATGCACTGTTTGTGAAAACCGAAGGTTGGGAGCTGTCCAAATGACAGCACCAGGGATCTGGTTCCTGAAATCCTGGTACGTTCATACAGCAAACTCCTAGATAGACAAAAACGAATAAATACATAAAGAGAACTTGGACACCATTTGTGTAGTGATATGAGATGGTCTCCAACATACATTATTAGGTGATAAAAGCAAGGTACAGGATAATGAATATAATATGCTGCCATTTGTATACAAAAAGGAGAACAAATAGTAAGTACATAATTGAGTGTATATGCATAAACTGTCTGTGGAAAGATACATGAGAGCTGGGAACCCTGATTACCTCTGAGAAAGGGAAGGGGAAGTGGGTGGCTGGGAGGATGGAACTGGGAGGGAAACAACTATATATCCTTTCATAACTTTTGAAAATTATGCTATGTGATGTGCTACCTTTTCAATAAATAAATAAAACTTTTTGAAAAGCATATTTTGTTCTATTACTGTTATAATGAAGTCAGATTCTAGATACAGGATTTCATAACATTTAATACAGATAAGCTCAATGTGGAGTTTAATTTTTTTGGAGTGAATAAACTGAATAATCAGTCAGAGAGAACAGCAGATATCCAGTCAGTTCCCAAGGCACACAGGCATTACTTTCCTGAGGGTGCCAGATAAAGTGACTCTCAGGTCAGCTGGGACCACATTATGTAAACCTAAAATAATTGAGACTGGAACACATTTCTTATTTAGTACGCACAGTGACATCTGTGAAAATATCCTGTACTAAAGCCCACCAATGTCTTTCCATATCTTAACAAGATGATTTAAATTACTTCATTCATATGTGTGTGTATTCTTTGTATAAGAGATACAAAGCATGAATCCACAGAGAAGTTGAGTAACTTATCCCCCAGCTCACACTACTGCTGGTGACAGCATTTTCCAAGGTGAGAGATTGAGAGCCATGGTCTGAATGGACACAGCCAAAGACCATGGAGCAGAACGTCTGCTCCAGAACAAGAGGTCCCACTGTGTGAATGACTGTATTTGTGGCCCTCATGCTTCTGTGGTTTTTCACTGGGGCCATCTCTGTGGTGGAACTGGGCAACTCAAGCTATGTAAAACCTGGGCATGGTCAGTGTTTGGATTTAACAAAACAGGTGGGTGAGTCACACCTGAGACTCTGCCCTCCCAGGCCTTATTTTTTTCTTAAATTATCCTGCAAGATAATAAGCCGTGGGCTTGCTTTTTTCTGCGCTATGTAAGTCAGAGACATCACATTCAGTGTCTTTCCAGGAAGAAGGAAACTTGGGGAAGAAATGTGGGGCTGACTTCCTTGCTCCTGGTGCAGTCTGCTGAGAGGATGCCCAAGGGCACTAGAAATGAAGCATTTCATCTTCCTGCTGATAAAGAGTATTCTTTTGGGTTTCAGGGATGGTTTGATGGGTTTCAGGCCCATCAAAGTTCATCCTGAAGTGGGGTGGGGATGGAGGTCAGATCTTGTCATTTCAGGTTGATCTTGGACTCCTGCTCCCTGGACACAGATGCCAATCTGATGGGCCACATGTGGGTGAGTGGGGCATGGAACTGGGGGGAAAGGTGGGAGTGTACAGCAGGATGCAGATAAATGGACTGGAATTAGGGGAAGAGATGAGGGTAGTGAAGGGCCAAGTGTGGGGGAATGGGGTAATGAGGGGCAGAGTAGAGGTGAATAGGGAAGAGTAGGGAGAAATGGGGGAAATATCCAGCAGAGTGAGTTACTGGAGAAGAAACGTGAGCGTCAGTAAATATGAGTAATGCCGGCGAGGGTGGGAGTTAGTACAGTTGAAGAGAGTGGATGTTGGAAACGTGGACAGAATGGAGCAAATTGGGAGTGATATGAGGCACAGTGGGAATAATGCTGAGTGGGGCAGAGTAAAGGGCAGTCAGGCAAGTGGCAAAAAGTGGCAGAGCATTAGCAAGTGCAAAGAGGAAGAGTACAGGCCATCAATGTGGGGCAGACCACTGGAACTGGGGAGTGAAGAACACTGTGTGGTAGCAGGGATCCATGGAGTGGGGCGGTTGGGTCTCGGGGTTCCAGCGAGGTATGATCTCGTGGTGTTGGCGATGAGGAGTTGGTGAGGACTGAGTGAGTGGAGGAGGCAGGAGGTGGTCACTGCGGTTTCTGCACAAAGAGGAGCTGCTCTGAGAACCCCGTGGTGACCACAGGTATACAGGATGGGAGAGCTTGTGCTCGGGACACAGTGCTCAATGAACATCCCTTCTGTGTCCCATGTTCTTGTCATTATTGATATACACTCAGAGAGGGAGAGGTCCCACCACAAGTGTGTCCCTGATACCTCCCCCAAATCAGCTCTGTTGTACCCGTAGGCCAGCCGCAAGTCCTGCCCCTGTTATTTATGCCAATTATTTGTCTTATTGCTTTAGGTAAAACCTCTAAAATAATATTCATTATGATCCCTCTTCAACCTCTTCCCTAGGACCCTCAGAACTACCCTGGGATCCCTAAGATCAGCCCTGTGACCCTCGATTGGTCCTATAACCACCCAGGTCAGTACTGGGACCCCAATATTTTAACCAATTATTTCATATTATTGTCATATTTCTTTAGAAAATCTTCAAACATATGAATTTAATATGAAAAATTCCCTTGATATGATGGACTCCAATATACTACCAGGCAAGCTATCTCAGAGGTCTCAGAATAGAAAGTCTCACAGACCAAAATAAAATGCCCAAGTCATGTGGCTTATTAAATCAATTTAAAAACACAAAATATATTTTAAAAAACCCACCAAGATGCAAAGGGAAAGAGATGAGGTAAGTTAACACACTTAGGATAGGGTGAAGGACCACATTTTCTGAATCCTTTGTTATGCAGTGTTCAAACACCCTGTCTCTGTGTCTCTGTCTCCCTCTGTGTGTGTCTCTCTCTGTTGCCTCAGCCTCATTGGTTACGAGGACCAGAGTTGAGGTTTGAACAAGGGACCCAGTCAGACTGAAGGTGCCCAGGACCAATGACATACCCCACTTGCCTCAGCTGTAGCTCACCAATTAGCCTCCTTCAGTCATGGGTTTTATCTGTGTTCAATGGAAAAATACTGAGTGTCACCAATTGGTGGCTGATTTAAGTAAAATGTAGCTGTTGGCTCAGGTGGTAAGATATCTTATGACTTGGTCTTCACATTCCTTTCTATCTTTAAGTAACACTCTTGTTTGTTCCATATATCATATATTCCATTTATTCTATTTATCTTTAATGTATGCTACAAGCTGCTAACTTGCTAACTATATTTAACACATCTTATGAATTCTCCCTGTCTCAAAAGCTGCTTGCTTATTCATTATCTATACTTCACACATCTTATGAGTTTTGCTCATATCTCAAGCTCCTAGCTTAATTACTATCTATGCTTAACACTTCTGATGAGTTTCCTCCAAAACATTTGTTTTCCTGTCCTCTAGAGGACAAACAATAGAGAAAAATCAAAGGAAGTTCTTTGAAAAGATTAATAAAAGTGAGAAACCCTACACTGATCAAGAAAAAAAAGAGAAAACACAAATTTTCAAATCAGGACTGATATAGTGGACTTTATCACAGATTCTATAAATATTAAAAGAATAAGGGAATTATTAAAAAACTTTGTGCCAATAAAGTTGACAAGTTAGTCAATGTAATTAATAAAGGAGAAAAATTACATAATAGTCTAGATGCAGAAAAAGGCATCTCATAAAATGCAACACCCATTCATAATATACATTTTTAGCAAACTAGGAATAGGAGAGAACTTCCTAAATCTGATAAAGAGTGTGTTAAAAAGAAAAAAAAGACATGGGGGCCAGCCCGGTGGCGTAGCGGTTAAGTTCGCACGTTCCACTTCAGTGGCCCAGGGTTCGCTGGTTCAGATCCTGGGCACGGTCCTACTCACCGCTCATCAAGCCATGCTGAGGCGGCGTCCCACAGAGAAGAGCTACAACTCTAGAACTATGATGTACAACTAGGTACTGGGGCTTTGGGGAGAAAAAAGAAAAAGGAAGATTGGCAACAGATGTTAGCACAGGGCAAATCTTCCTCAAAAAAGAAAAAAAAAAAGACATAGCAAAACTTAATGGTGACATGGTAAAAGTGTTCCTCCTGAGATTAGGAATGAGACGAGGATGGCTGCTATGCCCACTTCTATTCAACACTACTGGAGGCCTTAGTGAAATAAAGCAAGAAAAAGAAAAGGAGTAATGACTGGAAAGCAATAAATAGATCTCTCAGTCTCCGCAGATGACATGTATACAAAGAAAATCCAAAAGGGTCTATAGATAAATTGTTAGATTTAATAAGTGAATTTAGCAAGGTTGTTAAATATAAGCTCCAACACAGAAGTTGCTTTTCTTTGTACATGCAATAAACAACTAGAAAACAAAGACACCATAGCTTCAATTTTGGGGAACAGAGAGAAACAACTGATGGGGCCATATAACAGAGATCCTTGAAAGGAGTTTAAATGTGGGTGGGGTGGAATCCAACTGTAAAACACAGGGAGAAAACACCTGAGGCTTCTCACAAGGATGAGGGAAGGAAGTAGAAGAAACAAAAGTCACAAAGTTAAGGACAGATCTATAAATGTCTGAACACATAAAGAAAGAGATGGATGACAACTGGAGGGATGGAATTAAAAAGGTCAGGGAAAGGGAGAATGACATAGCAGGGCTCATTCCAGTTGAAGGAGGCAAGGATCAGATCCTGAGGACAAAGAAGGCAGGCGTAATTGTTCCTCAAAGCTAAGCAAAGAATGGGAGGAGATATGTGGAGAGGTCATTTAATCTGAGGAGCTCACATCCATGTCCTATAACCACCAGAGGCCTACCTCCTCTCCTTTAAGAAAGACCAATGGCATGTCAAAGGAACCTCCCTCTCACCAGCTGGAATCTTCCATCCACCATCCCCAGTCTTTCTAGTCCTCACTCGCCTATGCAACTTGAGATTTTTCTCTCTGCCATCCAAGGCTCTTCTTTCTCAAACGTGAAGATCAGGTCTGGTTTGGTAACTTCATACCCTGTAAGAGGACATGAATCAGGATTTAAGGCACCTGCTTGGGCTGGGGGGCCTCTGAAGACTGAGGAAGAGGCAGCTTCAGGGACTACACAAGGAAGTTGCCCAATTATATCTTGGTGAAGTCTGGCCATTTCCTTCGGAAGGTGAGAGAACAAATATTTCCTCCAGGGTCCAAAAGCGATGTGGAGTCTTTCACCTCTGAACATTTTCAGCACTTCAGAGGTAAGAAGATCCCATATATCTTTTCCTAATCACCCAGGGGTTATGTTTTTCGCAAACTTGCCCCCATACACGGAGGGCAAGGAGAGACGGAAGAAAGGGGCAGACCACTCCAGATTGGTAGGTGGCAGGTTTAATAAGCAAGGGAACTTACTTACAAGGCTTTTCTTGGGTGGCCACAAGATGAGTAGATCTCTGCAGCTGCCTGCCAGAAT